CTCAAAACCACTCTATGAAAAGAGGGCATTTCTCATCCCCATTTTACATAAGAGGAAACTGAGCAAGGCCACCAGCTGTCCCTACTTGCCTGGCTCTGAGGGGGTCCTGAGATATAAGACTTTCAATGCTAAAGCAAAGAGTTGACTATACCCTAACACCAAGGCACACAGAGACTGAGTAAATGTTCCATGGTTAACAAGTGGCTGAGTCAGGACTATGGACTCACAAATTCCATCACCTCTACCATAGGCACAATGGAGGCAAAGAGGAACCAACTGAGAAAACAAATTAGCCAGGACATAGACTAGGCTATAGACTGCGCTTTCCAGCACAGAGCCTGGTGCAAGGAGGTCTTCAAATGATTATCCCAACTGTGTTCTTTCTAGTGGTGGCACTGCCTATAACTAGCCATACGACCCTAAGTAACTGGGCCTCCGTTCATCTTCAAAAGCAAGGCCCCAACTAAATCAAGGATGGCAAGTAAATGAGATTCCCTTGTCCACAGCAGACAAAATTAATTAGGTTGCTTTTTCCTGCTCCACTCAAACTTGGCCTTCAGAACCCTTCTCACCTCTGCACATTAGGCATTCAGAACTCATCCGCAGGTGCTGAAGTGCAGGGTGATCTCTAAGGCCTTCATAGCCTGTTGGTAGCAAACTTACTTCCTGAAACTCTTCTGATTTCTTACAATTTGGCACTTAGACTAATACCCGAAGACAAGAAGTAGCAAATAGCAACACCAACTGTAATGGTGGGGACGGTCTCCAGACCCAGAAGTCACTGATTCAATCCTGTGCTAGGTATGTATCACAGATATGGAAACCTGGAGCTCTGGAGAGACCAGCTGGGCCTGCCAACCTGGCTTGCCATTTCCTAGCTGTGTGACCGTGGGCAAGTTAACCTGTTTCTCTATTCCCTCAAGTGCAAACTGAGGATTATAATAGTACCTACCTCCTACAGCTGTTACAAGGATCCAGTGAGTTACTATGGATAAAATACTTACCAAGTACTGTGTTAATATTGTGAGACTGCTCAACATCTCCAAGGAAGCTGTTAACAGATAAGAAAACCAAGCCTCGGAGAAATTAAGGTCAAGGCAGTGAAGTCAGAAATCCAGATTCAAAACCTGGTTCCAAGGCCTTTCCTATTAGGCACAATGCCATACTGCATGCACTGTGCAACAGGTATTTGCTAGAAAAATCGAACGATAGGTGATTATAATCATTAACCCTGACTTATTTTCACTGGATTAAGAATCACCCTGTACATTAGTAAAGCACATTCCTGGATGTATCTGGGTGGGGGTCATGATTGTATGACCCCGGGGACTATATATGGTCCCTCTCCCATTCCTCTCTAGCACTACTCCACTGATCTGCTTCCCAGGTACCATGAACTGAGTAGCTTTGCTCCACCACACTCTTCTACCATAATGTTCCTACCTTGGAGCCTGTTGACCATGGACTGAATCCCCTGAAGCCCTGATCCAATTAAACCTCTCCTCCTTTAAATTCTGGGTGACGGGTATTGTGTCCAGCAATGGGAAAACTAATACAGTAATATTTTTACTATCTGCAGGGGGTTACTAACCTGGGCCCACTGCACTTCTGCCTTCAATATCTGGCAATTTCCTGTCAGTGTCACTGATCCCCAGGACCTGGGGCTCTGGAATATGCCTACATTAACTCCTTGCCTGTCCACATCACCAGCATTTAGAGGGAATATCAACTGATGTGAGCACCACCCCACAGAAAGGAAAAAAACACACTGCTGCGTCTCCAGCTTCTGAGAAATGGAGGAGACTCTTTTAAGATTCCAATTATGGGTCTTCCCATATCAGTAAAGTGAATTTTGTTATTTTATAGATCTGTATCTTTCAGGTAATCGAGCAAACACAGCTTAGAGAAAATGGGTAAAGGGATTAAGCATCTAGGTACTATGCTGCATTTTATCTGCTTTTCTCTCCCAGTGAACCTCCTAAAAATACGTATCTTTTTGTCTTAATAACCAGCTATTTGGAAAAATATCTATTCTGGTAAATACCAAAGTTCCTAAAGCTTAAGGTATTCTTCACCATATATACAAAAAAATGGTGCCTACATTTCTAATTCATTCCATCTAGTGCCTTCTGTGTAAAAGCAGGAAAGTTGCCTGGCCTTACCAAGAACAGGCCTTACAGGGACAGAACCAGAAATGAGTTTCATTCCTGCCTGTAAACTCTGGGTTTGGGTGTTAAGCAGGTCACTGACTAGAGCTGAGCAGACATTTTGAAGTTGGTGACATGGGTGGTGCATTCTTCCATCCCAGTGCCTCCACAGGACGACAGGATGTGAAAAGGGCCCCTGACGTAGGATGGCATCAAGGTGTAGGATTCCAGCTGTCCACCTACATTTTCAGAAACCAGTTCAGTGACACCCACCCTCCTCCTTACTCCACAGATAAGGAAGGCAGGGAGGAAGAAAGTGATCTGGAAAAATCTGGATAGGTCCTCCAAAGGCTCTCATGTTGATTACTATATAAAGGTGATTACCGTATAAAGTCTTACTGTATGAAGACCAGAAACTGCTGACATTCTAAAGGGCTCCCTCTTTAGAACTGTTGTCCTTAATGTAGGAAGCCTAAGAAAAGCAACCTCTTGGCTGATAATCGATCCTATACTGCCAAGGGAGAAACCCAGAGCTGTCCAGCAGGGGAAAGGAAAGGGAACTCAGAAGTTTTTACCTCTAGTATTGGCCCCATGAGTACATGTATAAAATGTGAAAGCAGATTTCAAAACAAAACAAAACCAGATCTCAGTGGTAAGAGCACGTGACTACCATGTCCCAGGCCATGGATTCGATCCCTAGCACCATGCACACATGCACATGTGGAATTGTTGAATTTTATTTATTTACCTTTGGATGACCTTATTTACACAGGCTGGTCTCCAAACTCTGGGTTCAAGTGATTCTCCTACTTCAGCACACTGAGTAGCTCAGGGTACAGACATGCATCACCATGCCGGCTACAGCCAGCTTGAGGAGGGGAAAAGAACTATAAAGCATGGTAGTTATGGGAAACCTGATTTGGAATCTGAAAGTTCCAGGCTCTGGCACTTACTATGTGACCTTGGAGAAGTCACTGAACCTCTTCAGACCAAAGGAATTAAGTCTTCAACTTCTCTGAACATTAGGGATAGTAAATCTGTTCTTCTTGGGCTGTTTGGCAGCTGAGATGAGAGAATGCAAGCAAAGGGCACACCACCAGGGTCATAAGCTATTGCTGCTACCAGCTTGCCTTTGTACCTCACTTTACACTAACGTTATTTGACAACCAACAGTTACAGAGAATTTAATGTGTATTAGGCACAATGCTGGGCTCTGGGTTTTAGCCAAGGCTTGGCTTAATGATATTCATATACCAGGAGTAATAGTACTCATTCACTGATTACTGTAAGTTTAAATGAGAAAATGCCTCCCACGAAGGGCTTAGTACAGTGTGCAGCATATACAGAGCACCTCACATGAAGGGATGCCTCAACTGTCTTGGTAAAACTGGAGGCTGAGAGAGTTGACTTCAGTCTTTTCCTCTCCCCATTTAGCCATGTCCTTTGCTGCCAGCTTTCACATCCCTGGTCAATCCCTGGGTGACCAGGTACCTGGCTCTACTAGAATTTTGGAAAGAACCTGTGTTAGCTTCCTATTACTGTAACAAAACATCTGAGATGATTAACTTCAAAAGAGGAAAGGTTCATTTGGGCTCACAGTACTGGTAGTTTCAGAACATGGTCAGTTGCTTTTGGGCCTGTGGCAAGGCAGTAGGTCACAGTAGGAGTTAGGGTGAAGGGCCGGGGATTTAGCTCAGTGGTTCCACTGCCTGTCTTGAAAGCACAAGGACCCAAGTTCAATCTCCAGTACCAAAAAAAAAAAAAAAAGAGGAGGAGTTAGGGTGGAGCAAGCTGCTCACCTTGTGGCAACCAGGAAGCAAAAAGAGAAACCAGTATCCCACAATCCCCTTCAAAGACACGAGCACACTGACCTAAGACCTCCTGCTAAGCTCTATCCCTTAAAGCCAACCACTTCCCAACAGGACTAAGCCTCTACAACATGAGCATCTAGGGGATGTTTCAGATCCAAGCTACCACAATTATAGGAGCCAAAGAGTTTGAAGGTTAAGGCAATTAAAACAAGAAACTATAGTCAGGGGAGTGACTGGAAGGAAACCTGGCGGACCTGGTATTATCATCTCTTAAATGTGCTAGCAACGTGGATACACTCACTTTGAGGCACTCACATTTCAATGACTTAATTTGTGCATTTTTCTGCATAAATGTTATGTTACAGTAAGGCATGAAAAGTAGGAAAAGACTCTCTACATCACCTAATGCATGAAGCAGTCCTTCCCAGTGCGTGTGCGTATACCACACAGGATCATGGGCACAGTGGGTCAGCCACATGTGGCAGCAAGGGCAGCCATATGGATTGACCACAGGGAGCAGTACAAACACCATCACTAGGAAACATGGGTAGGCACTGGTCTCGAGTACCCAAATAATTTCCTCAATCACATACCTCATGAATAATATCCTCAAGTATGAGGATCATCAACGAAAGAGTACACCGCAGTTGCAGGTAAACACTCCTAGACTGCTCTTTGCACCTGACATCATCCTCTACCTTACTCTTTCCTGATGATGAGTATCTAGTAATCCCTTCCTCTCCCCCAACTTCCTTACCCACTATCAATGGAAGGAAAAGTTAAATTACATTTCCATCACTTTCAAGTCAATCCATACAACAACAGACTACATGTTGGTTTTCTTTTTGAAAGTTTATTAAAAAAAAAAAACCTATCTTTTTACATTTTTACATTCACCTCTCAGAACATTTAGTGGTACCAATTAATGATATTATATAAAAAGCCCACCCACTGTCTGAAATGGCTGCAGATTTATCATATTCTGGTATTAAAATGTTTTGATCTCTGAAAAAAATTGGTATAATACTTAGTACCAAGATTTCTAATTCTCAGATGAGAAACAAACTTTTTTAATAAGGAGGAAATTATTTAGTAAAAATTCAAGACTGAAAGGAAATGTTAAAAAAAAAAATTATAAAAATAGACCCCCCAAGAGTTAGGTTATAAAATGCAATCAACTCCACCCCACTCCCTATTTCTCTTAGAAAAGCCACCCAATCCTGAGCACAGGGTCTCATATACAAATATGTGCATCTTGATTTGCAGATCAGCCTCTGGGATCATACACTTGTCCTAGTTAAAAGTTTAAAGTAAAAATTAGGTTAGGTAGTTAGACATCCTTAAATACTGATATCCAAAAGAATAGAAACACTTTGCCTTTGGTGTGGCTACAGAAATCTTCCTGGAAATTGTACAACAGGACACTAGCTTGGGGAAAAAGGGACACAGAGGGGAGGACATACGAACATCCCCATGTGGAGGTAAAATAAATATTGAGACACATCCCGAGGAAACACTGGATAGAACACTTGAGGAAGATGTCTCTAACCAACCACACACACAGGTTCTTGGTCAGAACTGTCTGGAACAGCCTTTTTCAAAGGGCCATTTGCACGACACAGCTGAACACGTGTGCTGGGGTCTACTGTAAGAATAAAGACCTTGTAAAGTAAGAATGCCAGCCAGGCTGAAAACCAGCCCCTTATTTCAGAAATCTCAAGAGTCTGCTTCCCTTTTTAGTTAATTCCCTTTTTAGTTAAGCATCTGTCCATCACAGAAGGACCTCAATTCATTAACAGAGGATATCTGCCCTCGGTCACCACAGAGGTCTGTCAGAATGATTCAACTACCACTTTTTCACCTCTAGGGTGACTAAATAAAAATTAAATCTGGTACTAGGACTATAACTTACTATGGTGTGTCTTGAGTCTGCTCACATTTCCCCCATTCTCAAAAGGTCATGATTAAGGGTTGTAAAGACATTGAGGAGAAGGCAGCAGTAAGGTCAAGACCATGTCTAAACATGACCTCAAATATCCTCAAACATTACAGAGAGAACACAAAGGTGTTCGTGCCCTGGTCTTCAAATAAATAGTTACTTTACAAAGCACAAAGGTGACACCAGAAAGGAAAGAAAAAAGGCAACTTGTCATTGCTTCAATGCACAGCTTCCAGTGGCTATCAACACAATCCTTTACAATAAAAAGACACTTTGGCATACTACTGAGGAGGACAAGGAAGATGATCAGATTTCTTTTTCTTTCTTTTAATTCCTTAAAGACTTTTGATGGCAGATGCATTCTGAATGTATCTAAATAAATTTGCATCACAGGGCACCTGATAAACACATTATATGGTATGACACACACCAGTGGCAATTCAAGCAAGAGAAGTTGTCCCTCACAGCACAAACCATCAAGGACAAACCAATGGTGAGGTCTCTGCTTACTGTGGCCTTGGTTCACTGTAGAGAAGATCCTAACAATGAGGGAATGGAGGGTAAAAAAGAAAGAGAACACTCAGGGAGCTTTTGATAAACATCATTTATCCTGTTTTCTAAATAAGACTTGAATACCAATTTTTAAAAAGGAGGAAAATGGATATAAATTAAAACAAAAATATATCTGTACAAGTCTTTACTCTGAGAACCGTTTGGTCTCCATAGAAGCCAGAACTGAGGAGGTGATTTGTCATCACAGTCCCCTTGCTGCGGAGTATGTAGATCAAGAGACAACATAAAGAGATTCCAAGTGACTGCGATCAAGGAACCAAGGGAATTACTTACAACAATTTCCTAAAACGTGTAAGTTCTACTGACTGCCCAGAGAGATGCTAACAGTTGCTCTATCCCCAAATGCTTGAAACCTCAAGATGGCAGCTAGAATATAAAAACCCCATCACCCAGTGAACCAATCACTTCTCAATCAAGGGGCAGAGTGGAAGAAGCAGGAGTGCAGGGAAGGCTGTTTCATCAGGACTCATCAGGAAGACCGCAGGTTTGGTGGCAGCCACACCACAGCTTTCCTTGTCTCCAACGGGGCCAGGTCTCCTGAGAGGCTACAAGTGCCCAGGGCCTGATGACAAGGTTCCATGGTGTGGAATGGCCAAGGTGCGGCAATAATACCGGCACGGAGAGTGACACCTGAGTTATGCATCAAGCCTACAGATCACTGATTGTTACACTAGCAATCTTGCTGTCCTGCCTATGAGAGATAACCCAGATGATCAGCCTGTGACATGTGCTACTTCCATCTGCTTGGAAACTGGGGAGAGAAGGGCATTACAAATGAAAACTTCTGCAATTACTACTTCTTGTTCCAGCCTGAGCTAAAGTGTGTCGGACTACATCACCAGCATTAAATAACATTTAAAATATGGTAACTTCAGCACATTATGAATATGAAATGTCCCCTACCCCAGCTCCATTTGTTGCAGAGCACAGTCTCCTGTCATTCAGCCAGGGGAATGGGTGGTGTGTGCCAGATGTTACATAAGGCATCTATTTCCCCGAGAAGGCTTTGAGCCAGGAGAATTAATCTCCTTCTGCTGGGACCTCTGCCCCAAGCTGCTGGGAAAACCGTGAATTGGGCTTGACAAGGGAAGCAGCTATGTGATCCACTAATCAGATTCAAAACATGAAAATGCACCACAAAGTGTATTCCTTCCTGCTCTTTTCACAGGAGAAAGACCAAAAGATAATTAACAAAAAGCCTTGTCCCTTCCAGCTCAAAGGAGGTTTCAAAAAGAAAGCCTAAGCAAAAAACAAAGAAATAAAATAAATCAAACCCCCAATACTCCTGAAAGTAAGAGTCCATCGTGACGGATGTCTAGAAGGAGTCGAGGCAGGAAAGAAGGACACAAAGATGGATGTGGCCAGCCACAAAAGTGCCTTGCGGAATCCACAACAGTGCTCTCCACTTCCAAGGCCAAGTAGTTATTCCCGGTAAGTCAAAAATTTTCTAGTAAGAAGAAAACAAAACAGAAATAAAAACCACTCCAAAAAAAGGGTTAAGGGAAGAGGGACGCTGTAGAAAGTCAAGCCGCTGACCGCCGGCGGATTACAAAGAGCCCACGCTGAAGCTGGCCCAGATAGATCCTCATCTTGGTGCTGTCACTTGTCTTCCTCACCCAGATCTGTGGGGACAGGAGAGGGAGCAAGATGAGAGGGGCTGAGAAACATGAAGGGCGAGTCTCCCAGAGCACGGCCACATTTGCCTGAGTTAGGCTGGGGAGGAAACTGAACACCACCTCCGTTTCAATGGGCCATTTCAACACCTGAGACTTCACAAGCACATCCTGGACCATGACCATCAGAGAAAAGCTCGCCTCCAGCCCTGAACACCTTCCTCCCTGCCACATGTCCTACACCTCTGGACAAGAAAACTGACAGCACAGCAATCCTGGGCTGCATTTTTTGCTTGGGTCACACGGACTCTCCCCTACCCTCTGCCCACCCCACCCCACCCCCGGCCCCGGCTTGGTACTAAGGATTGAACCCAGGATCTTCGCATTGACCTACATCTCCATCCCCAACCCCTTAAAAAAAATTTTTTTTTCTAAACTTTGGAGACAGGGTCTCACTAAGTTAGCCAGGCCAAGCTCAAATTTGCAATCATCCTGCCTCAGCCGCCCAGAGTGCTGTGACTACACATGTGGGCCACCATGTCTGCCTTTCTTACAAAGATCTAAATTTGGTTGATTACAGGATTAGCAACATGCAACAGACATATATTCATGAACATAAACTTCCTGCCAAATTTAAAAATGCTTTCCTTACCCCAAGGGACCTGCACATCATCTAGCCTTTCGATACTCTGCTTTTTCTGGCAACTAAGGCTAATGGCTGTGATGGAAAAAGGAAAAAGCAATACTAAAAAGAAGCCCATGGGGGAGCTGGGGCCCAGTAAGGATTCCAAGAAAGCTGAAGAGTTTAAGACAGTCTTCCCTCCTCACCACTTCCCTCACCCGCAGATGGGATGAGACCTGGCTCACTTTACAGGGCACAGGTGTGGGGTGAAGCGAACTCTTGCCTCAGGGGAATCGTCAGAGCCCACAGGTGCACTTAGTGAGTGCCACGCTGCAGCCAGGGAAGGAGAAGGGGCACCTGAGCGAGGGCTCCCACACTCTCACCATGCGCCAGACACTGTACCCATCATGCTAAGCTGCCTCCACCCAGGACAAGCCTGTGGAGGAAGTACTGCTGTGGGCCCCATTTTACAGAAGAGACCAAAGTCCCAAAGGCTGGGCCACTTGTCCAGACTGATCCTGGCACCTGACAGCAAAGCCCTTTGCTCGTCTCCTTAAACCAGCCCCTGACTCTTCTCACCCAGCTCTCCGTAACATGCAATTAAATGGAGCCTAAAGCATGGGTTTTTGAAAGGTTTGTACTTTATCTATACACCTCTTAGTTTACAGATGTGTATCTCCTCCTCCCCCGACTCAGTTTTCAGGTTTTAAAAAAGCTTGTTCTCAGTTTCACCTCAATTTCTTTGATGTGATTATTCAGCAACAGACAGACTTTAGAATCAAATACACTGGTTTAAAAATGAAACAACTGAAGATCTCACACGAAGCCAGGCCTCTAAAGGAATATGCAGAACCATTTTAAACTGAAAACTGACCCCAAGAGGGTTGAATCGGGGAGTCACTAACACACTCAGACCCACCCACCACACCTGCCCAGAGCAGAGTCACACCAAGGCCAAGCAGCTCCAGCAACAGTCAGGAGTTTATCCAAAAAATTAGCTGAAAGACTTTTAAAGCACTGCTCCCCCTCACCACAGACGCGCAGGCCTGCAAAGCCCAAGGCCTCTCCTCTCCCAGACATGGCGCAGTGGCACCATTTCCTCATCACACCTCACAGGCACTCTTTTGTGATAAAAAGTGTTAACTTCAACGGGAAGCCTAAGTAGGGGGAATCGCACTTGCTTTTTATTTTTCTCCAGGTGCCACAGAGGAGTACACGGCAGCAGTTCTAAAGCTGGGTTTAGGTAGCAGGAAGCCACGTGTGCTTTGCAGAGCAACACTCGAAGGCAGGTACAAATGCGCCATCACGAAAGTGAGGCACCTCCTGAGCCCCTGGTTCTGGTTCCAATGTGGCCTGAGGTGACGGAGACCCTGAGCCCAGAGAAGAGTGGCATTCATTTATCTGGAAGGCTCTCCCTAACTTCTAAGTAAACAATCATTCTGCAAACTAGTCACATTTGAGGGCATTTTCAATTCAGGAAGCTGGAAGAATACAAGAGGCTTAAATTATTTCATAATCCAGTTTCATTAGATTTACTGTGCACTGGCACGAATAAGTTACAGAGGGTAGACACGTAAAAATCAATTTCTTTGCAGACATTTGCAGACTGATAAAAGATCAAGCCAATCCAGCTATTAAAGTTTTAAACCTTTCTTAACAATGCAAGTTAGACATTGCTGGACATCCCCCTAATGAAGAACCAGGCGGAGAACTCGTAGGGCAGTCACATTATCTTTGGGTGTAACTCTGTTAAAACCAGACCCTGTTCTGCAGAAAATCAACGCCCAAGGGCATGAGCCTGGCAACTCATTGCTGAGAGGCACAACAGGTCATATTAGGTGGGAGAGAGAGCGGCCTAGGAGTCATATGCATTCAGTGAGTGGGTGCTGGGTGCCGGACCTTGTGCCAGGTGCTCATTAAACCCTCACAGCAAGATACAAATCTCTCAGTGTAGAGAAATAACGTAACACAGATGGAGATGGAGTATGCTCCACAGGCAAGCTCCATTCTCAGTAGATAACCTGAAGAAGCAAGGATGGGAATGTACAGACCTCACACAGACTTGCCTTCTGCTCTCTCCTAAATCTAGCTCAGTGGCTCCCAAATCAATTACCGCACAGGGCGCTCACCAATACCACCAGGAATACACAGAACTACACACTGGAGGCAAGCAAATGTACGGGATGGATCTTCAAGGGTGAATCTTTCTATACGCAATTTTGCCACAAAGTGCTGACTTTGGAATTTAACCTACATATTGGACATGACTCCACCATCCTTTTTGGTGGCACTTTTATTTCACGTTTGTCCTATTTTTCACACTTCACAGAGCACATTTTGTTTTCTTCAGGGTGAGGAAATTCAGTCCCTACCTCATTGGCTCCAACTGAGCTGATCACGCAGCTCAGTTTCTGGTTGTCCTTTGACTCCAGATAGATGGCCTGGCTCTTGTGGTACCTGCAAAAACAGGGCACAAATGTACAAATATACTTAACACAGGCTTAATCATTTGTATGTGGGCAAAAGTCAAGACTTCAGAAGACTTTATTGTAAGGCTTCCATCCTCAGATGAGATGACTTCTTAACCCTCTGGACCTGAACCTTACAATCCTTGGTCCCTTTGCAAAAGGAAAGCAGCAACAAAGAAAAGAGTTGGAAAACTATAATTTACTTTTTATTTGGACTATATGACCCAGTTTAAAAACTAAATTAAAAATTTTAAAGTAAAATCTGTTTCTGCTTTCTGCCCACGCCCTCAAACACTGAAGGCAACTATGCAGACAAAATAAATAGGTGGGCTTGAATAATTGTTCTGTTACTTATTTTCTTTCTGTCCAAATAAGTCATTCACAAGAAGGAAGGCTGAATTCAGCCCTTACTTTAGTCATTCACTCAAAAATAATCATCAAGTACTTAATATGTACCAACGACTATCCTGGAGGCTGGGAAAAAGACTGAACAAGGCCACAAGTCCCTGCTATCACAGAGCTTCAAATATAATTGGGGGAACATTTAATAATCACACCTGACAGATACTAACTAGGTGAAGATTTGAACGTCATGGCATGCACCAAAGGGTCTCTGACGTGGCATGGTCTGGTCTAGAGAAGTGGGAAAGCTGCTTTAAAGGGGGAGACAAGACACATGCTCCCTTTTCAGCCCTTGCATTTATTCTCTTGGCCTGCCGTACAGAACTACTTCCAACCTACAGAAGTTCATCCTTCCAAGGATGGAAGGCCAAAGCCCAAATGGGACAACAGGGTGAAAGAGCAGCTGCTGGATTACAAGAATTAGAAATGTAACCTCAGCTGCTGCTGAGAGCCCTGGCCTGAGCCAGTCCCAGTTCAGTTGAGAACATAACCTTTGGTTGACCCCGGCTACAAAAACCTAGCTACACAGATCCATAAACTCATGTAAAGTCTACCAAAACACATCTCCCAGTGAAGTACTGCATCTTCTTCTCATTTCTCTGAAGGAAGGAGGCAGGTTCTGTTTTGCTGATAAAATGAAATAATGTATTGCCCAGATACCACAGTTCAAGATGTTCTTCTCTCCCACAGTGAGCTTCTCCAATCTACGTGCTAAGCACTCTTTAACCTGCTACTTAGGAGCTGAAAACACAGATTGCCAAGTCAATTTAGTTCCTGAAAAATGTTTTAACAAAGTAAATGCAACAAGAACAGTGAGACTGGTTTAGATCCAAGCTTTAAAGTTGCTTTTGACCATATATTAGTTGGCAAACTGGGTCAGAAGACCGTCGTTATGCTAAACAGGTAACATCACAAGGCCCAAATAAGGGAAGGTCACATCAGTTCACAGCAACATCCTAACACTTCCCTTGGTTTCCCTCCCATGTTTAAGCCAACTATACTACATAAACAGTAATGTCTTGAGCAATGTTTAGAATAAAAATACAAAAGAAAAAGTACACTCACAGTTATTCTATGGGAACTGTGAGTGATTAAAGAGATTAAACACAAAACAACATCTACCTAGCCTCAAGTCACTGATTCTACTTTCTAAATAATTTAATAAAGAAAGGTCATGAGTGTGGCATGAATGTACATTACATCACAGAAACATGCTAATACAGAGCTAAGTGGAGCAAAAGAACTACTATATTCCTGTGTTTCTAATAAAACACATTTGACTGGTTTCACAGTGAACATGAGGAGTAAAGACTGCAGTCTGGTTTATCACCTCTGGTCTCTCTCTCCCCGTGGGGTGTGGCCTGGACATCCACCACGTGGGATGGTCCCCAGGTGCTTCACAGGAGAGCTGGCCAGAGTGCTTCCTAAAGCAACCAACTCCCAAACCAACTGATCCCTGGGTTCCCAAGACCTTCAGGGGATTCTCACATACAAATAATGATCTCAGAGAACCATTATCCCCGGACATCAAACCTATTAAATTATTTGAATTCTCTGAAAAGGTAAGTCCTTAGACACTAAACTGTTCAGATGGATATTTTCTTTTAAAATGAAACCAAAAAGTATATAACAACACTAACATAAAACCTCACTTTTCAATTTTTAAAGAATAATAAAAAGGGGGGGAAAGAATTCAAAACATATTTAGAAATAATAAGTTTAAAAGCAACACCAATAGAACCAATTTAGTAAAAATGTGTCATCTTTGCCAATTAAACCCATTTTACAAGCTACAACTCAGCTGCTGAAAAAATTTATTTTTTTAAATGGCCTCAGAGAATAAGTCCTAAATGTCAAATTGACTTTATTACTAATAGAAATTCTGACCTGGGAATCCCTACAATTAAGCTCTTAAAGCTCTGTGCCTCGCTATTAAACCCAGTGAACTAGAATTACTATACTATTTTGGAAGAAAGCAATTTTTTTAAAAAGGTAGCTCCAAAAGTAAGGTGGGAAGGGGAGAAGTAATTGAATGTTTTATCCTGCTGAGAATATTAACACTCCATTTCCCCAAAACTGAGTCCATATTACAGCTATAGAACCTCACAGGTGGCAATTCTAGTTGGAAATATTTTTTTTTTTTTGGTACTGGGGATTGAACTCAGGACCTTGTGCTTGCAAGGCAGGCGCGGTGCCACTGAGCTAAATCCCTGGGCCCCTCTGGTTGGAAATATTAAGAGTCTTTGTATCAACTCAGAGCTAGAGGGTTAATGCTACTTGAGCAAATGGTGACTTCATTTCTGATTCACATTAATAGCCACAGAGAGAGAGAGAATAGTCCACTGGCACCATCAGTTAGTTATTTTTAAAATATCAGCTACTTTCACAGTGTTTTCTCAGAGAGGTCATTAGTCCAAATCAAAATTTGAGAGAAACTTACAGCATGATATAAAATGTCTTAAAAGCAGTAAAAGACCAAGGCAAAGGGAAGATGCTTATCTTTCAAAATGAAATGTAGCTTGATAAGTGTTCACACCAAGATGGGAGGCCTGGATCACACTCATTTTGCTGAAATCATTTAAAACTCAATGAAACATGTTTTTACCAAAAATACTGTTATAAGGAAAAATTCCATGCTGTGGGAAGGAGCACAAAGGGATTTGGCTGACCCCTTAGCCACAGGCTGGGAAAGAAAAATGAAGCCTCTGAACAGAGATACAAAAGTCAGGTCAAGGGCCTTGTGAGGCTCGCCCTGCTCTAGTGAGAGCTTCAGGCAGGGTGCTCAGGAACCCAAGAAAACACAGCAGGGAGGACAGGACTCACCTTTTAACACCTCACTATGAGCCCTGATTGCTAAAGCTAGAAAAGAAAAAGCACACAGAATACAGAAGCAAACAACATTCTCAAAATATAATTAACAACAGAATAAGTGACTTCAAATTCACTGAAAAAGCAAAATGCTTCCAGAGACATTGTTTTCCAAATGTCTTCTGCTAGCATGAGAAAGATGGTGAAAATTCCTTCTAACGGCTTAGGAGTTCTGACACATCACACCTGACCACTTGGTTTACTTTATGAAATACCCATCGTTGTGGAACCTTTCTTTTAAAAAAACAAGAATTTTCTTTTACTGTATTTTTACCCGCCAGACATGTCTCATAAAGTCTAAGGATTAAGTCTAGATAAAGGAAGATCTGAAGCAACGCAATTACAAAATGAACATCATTTGAAATATCACATGGCTTGAAGACTCACAGATCCGTAAAAATGTTAGTGATAAATCTCATCATTTTCAAAGACGGTTCTTATATGTGGGCTTGATCTTTAAAGGTTATTTGGTTTTCATTATTAGAAACATTTTTCATCTTATTTTGCCCCATGGTGCTGAGCAGCTAGCGCCTGCCACCTAGTGGCCACACGTCCAGATAAGAAGTAATGCTAAAATAAATACTAATTGACCTCTGAAAAACACCAAACAGCCAGATCTAGGGGGCAGAAGTCACTAGATCAGGCTTATGAACAAAGCAAGCCTCCTTCACCCATCTGGATAACTAACTCACTGTAACTTAATAAGTGGAAATGACTTATTTTCAGGCAAGACTAGCTCTCTAAGCTTTGTTTGCTTGTTCTGGTTTTTGAGAACAGGGTCTTGCTATGAAGTTCAGGCTTATTTTCAATTCACTATGTAGCCCACACTAGCCTTGAACTCACGGTGATCCTCCTGCCTCAGCCTCCTGAGTGCAGGGATTATAGGCATGCACCACCACATCCAGCATCTCTAAGCATTTATTTTTTATTTTTTTGGTACCAGGGATTGAACTCAAGACCTTGTGCTTATGAGGCAGGCACAGTGCCACTGAGCTAAATCCCCGGCCCCCTTTAAGCATTTTTGACAAGAACAGTCAGCCCTCTGGATTCACAGGTTCACATCTATGGATTTAGCCAACTGTGGATAAAAAATACTTGAGAAAAAATTGTGTCTGTACTGAACATGAACTTACTTTCTTATGACAATACAGTATAACAACTATTTACATTGTATTCAGTATTTTATATAAACTAGAAGTGATTTAAATATACAGGAGGAAGCCAGGCATGGTAGCACACCTATAATCCCAGCACTTGGGAAGCTGAGGCAGGAGGACTGCCATGAGTTCGAGCTACATAGTGGGTTCAAAACCAACATGGATTACATAGTGAGACCCTATCTCAAAAAAAAAAGAAATTACACACACACACAGTCTGCTGAAACAATGTATACATCAGGAAAAGAAAAACTTGTATAAATACCTTAATACTAAATTTGTTGAGACATCATGAGATTAACACAAGTTACCTTTGGCCTCTACCATTACAAGAGATGCTCAGAGTGGTGGCCATGAGCTTCCAGACATTTGTTAGTACAGCGAACTGCTGAAGTGTGTATATACTTTTTTGGAAGACTCTGTAAATACAGGAGGCTACCTCAGGTTATAAGCAAACATGATGCCATTTTATACAGGGGATGTGAGCTCCTGCAGACTTGGGTGTCTGTGTGTGGTCCTGGAACCAGTACTGCCTACACAGTGGGACGACTGTACAATCTTGCAAGGTAGCCAACTAACATGACGCTCCAAAAAGGCATCCATCCTTAATTCTTAAACCTTTGGCTCAATAAAAGTATTGAGACTCCAAGGGTTAATATATAGCCATTAAAAATGGTAATTAGAGACCATACAGTAAATTGAGAAAAACGTTGTCAATTTAACCAAGTGAAAAGGCAGACTGAAAACCTGTGTTCACCTATGACTTGAAGTGAGGGGCCTGTACGGGACCACAAATGAAAGAAATCCTGTGTCTGAATTAAGAGCTGTGCAATATGGCAGGGCCCACGGTGATTTGACACCTACCAGAATACCTAACACAAAAAGCAGTAAGCATTTGTTGGATGAATAAATGTATGCACTTTTAAAGTTTTTTCCTATTGTTTTGCCATTTCTTTTCCAATGAAAAATGTTGGCAGTCTAAAAATTTCAAGCAGTCCTCAATCTAAATGAGTCATGTTTTAGGATATGATTCCCCAAGTAAGTTTCTTAGAACACTCTTGGAGCTGGATGATGCAGAAGAAAAGGGTAGAGATGCCAAATAAAAACACCTAATAACATCTTAGGAATTCACAGTATACATTAACATTATCAGAAGACCCAGAGTGCTATTAGAAAGGAATCCATTTATCTTAATTAACAGGATCATCCCCTAAACTCATGTGACCACAAAATCCTTTCATCTGTAGAACACCTATTAATTTTAGCACACAGGAGCAGAGTTGAGAGGGGCTGCAGGACATGTACCCTGGCACTGCTGGGCAGAGGCACCTCAAAAGATATCGGCCTGCAAATTCCAGGAGGGCCGGGGGGCCACCAGCCACAGAACCACCCTGGGAAACTTTTCAGAGGCCTAACAAAGGTATCCATCAAATGTCGGCTGATGCACAGTACTAAAGTGGAATCTCATTTTAAAATGTAAGTTAAGCAGCAGCCGTGCTCTGAAATAACAACTCTAGATAGCCCCAGCCTTCTCCTTCCAAGTGGTTCTTTGCAGACTCTTATAAGCAGCCATCTTTCCTCATAACTTACCATCTCTTATCATAGTACAGCTTGCCATCTTCTATCCGAGCCTCCAATCTCTGGGCTGGAGACTCCGCAGGTGTGGCAGGTAAGTGTTCAGGAGAAGATGGGGATGCTGGAGGAAGGTAAGAGACATTTCAGCCTGAGCGCTAACATGTTTCAACTGAGACACCATAGCAATAACCACGACCACTGAGTCCTCACAGTGGGACTGCAAAGACATGTAAGACTCCAGGCCAGAATGCAAAGGCAGTGGCTGTTCACAGGCATGGTCCTACTGATCAGCATGTGTGGGCTGGGTCCCTTGCTCCTGGGAGGTCGCTATGTTTTGCCAAACTTAGCGTGGGACACCAAATCGGCATAGCGCACTACTAAATTCTTGTACATGACTTCTAACTTGATCTTCAAACAATCCTGTGAGGCATGCAAAGCGCAGATTAACCTCAGCAAACAGAGGAGAAACCTGAGGTTTGGGAAGGTTAAGGTCAAATGTACAAATCTACAAAGTTGCTCAGAATAGGGTAATACCCTGGTGATCATCAGAAGCCCAAATGGTGAGTACTATGAAAAGCTCTTAAAATGAAATCATTTCTAGAACTACGGTAGGTTCAAATTAAATTTATATACTTTCTCCCCGTTATGCCTCAGAAGCTCAGGACTTCTCTGTGGACTATGGCAGCTCATATGAGATTATCTAGAGAACGAAGAATCCTGCTTTTCTCCCACAAAACTCAGTAAGTACGGGAATATGTGAGTAATCCCAGTGCTCAGAACAACAAAAGACATTATCAATTTGGAATTCTAGTTTGTAACTAGCATTCACTGCCTAGTGCTACTCTGGAAGGAACCACTGTGAACACCAAGTTGGCCTTGGCCTCTTCTATAAGCTGGAACTCAGAGCAACCTGTGAGGACTTAGAGCCAAGCCACAAAAAGCCACTGGAACAGTGATGCCTAGCACTTAACTCCAGAAAGGGAGTAAGACTGAAAAATCCTGTGGTTTAATTTTCAAAACTGGATATGCAACTGAACCTCATGCCTGCACAAAAGGAAACTTTGAACAGCCAACCAAGTGTCTCTTTTACAATAAATCCTAAGAAGAATACAAAAAAAAAAAAAAAATAGTGGGGCTTAAAAAAAATAAAAAACAGGAGTAATATCTTAAGGTTCCTTTCGGTTTCCATGATGACTACTCTTAAGCAAATGAACATTTTACTTTTGAAAATTACGACTCCCTGACAGGTATTCACATGCTTTTCCAACATGATAAAAGGACTGCACAAATACCAATAACATTATGCACTTACCTGGTCTCTTGGGTGACTTAAGCTGTAGAAAGAACAACAAAAAATCTTAGAGAAAATCATTTCAGATGCAACTTCAGGTGTCACAAGTATCACAATGACGTAACAAGTAATGTGAATAAAGTGAACCAGAAAACCATGTTAAGCCTAAACTTTCAAATAAATTTTAAAAAATCAAACTGTACCTTATTTAATGTTCTCAGATCCTCCATGATCTGCTCATCAGTTAGCAAATAGTTTAGCTGAGGTGTTGAGAGTTAAAGGAATGTATCTGGAAATACGGTTCCCAAGGAAACAGAAATCAACAAAATGGTACAAATATTTTAGAACTGACAAAGCATGAATATTTTAAATGATATTTTTTACAATAACTTGCTTAGAAAGTTGATTCTATGAGATGTTATGGTGACCAGGTATATAAAAGAATTCGCATTCCTCACCTTACAAAATGCTACGATGAAGTTCACCTGCTAGCTACAATACCATAATAGTGAGAGCACAGAAAATAGTGAAATAACAATTTCACCCTGCATTTATAAACTGCCCTTGTTTCAAAGATCTGAAGACTTACACACACACACACACACACACACACACACACACAAAATGTAAAGTTAGTCTTCCAAAGCAACTTAAATTCTCAGTTACACAGTTAAAGGGATGTCAAGTTGTATCTTTTTCTGGTGGTCAACAAACTGAATCATTCAAAATTAACAGCTATCTATTATCTCCTAAGAAGGACACTTCTCTCCATGTGTCCCATTCCCATTGTTTTTATGATTAAAGAGCTACTTTATATTGACTAGAATCTCACTTGCTTTAAGAACAATTTGCAATTCACTGTGTTAGAAATGGAGTATATGAAATGCACAAAGGGGCCAGGGATTTAGCTCAGTGGTTCCATCGCCTGCCTCGCAAGTGCAAGGTCCCGAGTTCAATCCTGGATACCAAAAAAAAAAAAAAAATTCCTCCCCTCTGCAAATAAACCCTTTGGGCCGGGGATTTGGCTCAATGGTTTCGCCACCGCTGCGCAAGCGCAAGGACCCAAGTTCAATCCCTGGTACCAAAAAAGAGAAGAAAAAAAAAGAAATGCACAAAGGCAGATATCACTCTCAGTTTTACTCGTGGAAAAATTAAAGCACATCAACTTTTCAGTTTTCTCTAAAACTTGAAAGGTCTAATTTCCAACAGAAAGTACTTTCCAAATAACCACTTTCTATAAATTTTTCCCACTAAAAGCAGTAGCAATTGAGGACACCAGTAACAAATAGCCAACCTCTGTCCCACTGATAAATATTTTACATGTTTTCTCATAAAATATTAATATCTTTTGTAGGACAATTACGTATACTCTATCACGGTGGTGGCAAACCTATGGCACACGTGCTACAGCAGGTTGTTTGTTATCATCAAAAGCTCTAAAAGGTTCGCCATCACTGCCCTATCAGATGTACGACAAAGGACTCAATTGTCTTAAGGAAAACAATGTGATTAAAGCATGACACAAATGGATATCAGGAGCAGGTTTTCTCCTCTTGTCTGGGATGGGGACAGGATCATTTGGTCGCCTCCGCAACTTTCTGGTCATGATGGGTTTCACTTCCATAGAATCTGTGGCAAGAATGGAATGGGTAAATCTATCCAGCTCCCACTTGGAGTAAGAACTCCTACAATGTAAGAATTATCTGCCTCACAGCCACCCAACCAAAACTGTTTTATTGGGGAGGTTTGGTCCACGCAAAGTCCAAGCCAGATGCCAATTACCGACTTGACAGAGGGTCTATGCTTACAATATTCAAATCACCTAAGCTAGGTAGGTACACATCCTTCTCGGAAATCCAACCCTCTAACACTTCGGCCACGGTAGATAACAAAACAGTACCCTAAAAACTAGTGGCTATTCCTCCTCCACCTCAAATTAAGATGCCAGGTTTTTGGAACTGAAAGAACTGCAAGGTCATCTCACTTGACTAATTTCCACTGTTCCCACCGAGGTGTGGGGCTAAAACACACTGGTACAAAAGGTTCTTTTACAGGCCATTGGTCTCGGTGCCCACATTTTTTACATGGAGTTTTCATTTACAAACTCAGACTCTTTTCTAACCTTTTGTAGCTACCTGACTTCAAGAATGATACAACGAAAGCACACAATAAAGCCTCTTTTCGCCCACTTGACTTCTCTCTGCAGTCAGACACTGCCACTGACTCCCCCATACCTTGGAGGCTCTCCTCCAACAGCCACTCAAATCTCTGATTTGCCCTTTGGGGTCCTTTTTCGCCAGCAGGCTCCTTCATCCTGGTGATCTCTGGGGTCCACTCAGTCCTCAAGCTGTACCCCGCTGAATGTCCACTCCCTACTCCCTGCTCTACCAGCCCTCTGGATGGCAATCCACTCTCTCCTGGCAAACTCATTTCTCCTCCTCATTCCCCCTCTCAAAGCTGCCTCTTCTGCACCCCAGGGGCACTGAATCTGACTCCCTTCAGTGCTCAAAAAAATCTCTTCTGTGACTCATCTCCCTTCACCCAGGCATCAAAGTCACCACATAATGTTAAGTGTGCCGCAACTATGGGCCCTCATCTTTTCAATGACACAGTTCCATCCCCATCGGCGGACTCTGCCATAGCGAGTTCATCCTCCCCTCCCTCAAAGTGATCTCCTAAGATAGATATCAGGTCATTTGGCATACTGTTCACTTTTCAATAGGTATTTCAATGGCTTACCGCCCTCTACAGAATGAAGGCCAAGCCTCTGTTCTATTTGTCCTTACTTCATTCACACTCACTGTTTGTGCAAGCTTTTAGCTCTTCTGTTACCCAAAGACATCATACTTTCAGGTCATCAAGCTTTTGTACACTGTTCTCTCTGCCTAGCTTCCTCTTTATTGCCCGGCAAATGCCTACATAACATCTTTTGACAGTCTGCTTGATACTCCCCTTTCTGTGACAGCTTCCATGGGCAGAGGCTCATCCTACCTTCCGAGTAACCAAGACATATGTGCCACCCTCCACTGCACCAAGTGCCACCCTATATTGAACATTCCCCCACTGGATGTTGAGTGTGCAATTCTACCACAGCATGAAATGTGTCCTTACCCCAGTACAAAGTGTTAAGAACCAGATGAAGTCAAGCTGATCACAAGATAAATTTAATTCATGATTATGCACACTTATCAGCAAAGCAGGCAGGACAGAGTTGCAGGACCCTACCACAAGAATGTGCAGGACCTTAAGAGCACATATCAAGTTCTCTACACAAACTCAGAAGATGTTTCTTCATGTTGCTCTTAGAACAGACATGGATAATACTGATTTTTTTTTCCTATGAGTGGAACGGAGATAAAATAAGAACTACACACCTAATAAATATTTGTAAAGGTAGACTTGGAAGTGGGGGTAGGAGGATACACATAACCTTGGGAGGAGGGTGGAAGCTTTCTCCCTACAAGCAATCTTTACCCTCACTACCCTCACCAATGGCTGGTGGCACAGCACCGTGGTTAAAAACATGGGCATCACACCAACAGGCCTGACTCCCTACAGCAGCTGAGTGATCTAAGGCAGGCTACGGGAATGCTGTGTCTCACGCTTCCTCATCTCATGGAGGGTGTTCACGGGTGCTGTGAGGGTTACAGAAATGGCACATGGGACTGGCCTCACAAAGCTCAAATTGAGGCTGGCTTTTCTTATCATGCTTTCAGGGAGGAAAACACTATACAAAGATCTTTTTAAAAGGACAAGGTGAAACAGCTGTGCGAAAGCTGAATACCACTAGGCAGCTGATATCAACTGTGATACACTGCAAAATACAGAATTTGGCAACCAAAGTGTGAAAGGAGTTCACCCAACCCAAGACAGCACCAGAGGAAAGGCAATGCCCTATGACTACTGCAAAATGTTCTAGTTCTACTAACAGGGGGATGGGCTTGTGGGCAGCACACATTGGAAGAAAGCCAAGTAAAGATGTGCCTGACAGGACCTAAGAGTACCAAAACCAGCCAAGCCACTAAACTGAAAAGTCATAACTGCACACTTATAAATCAGAAAATGTAATCAAATTTTCTTAAAAGTAGTGAAAAATCAATCCATTTTATTAGCCTGGTCCCAGGAATAACCTGGTGAATTTTATCCAAATAACTACCTTCTGCAGAAGGAAGTGCTCTGAAGGAGCTCCTAAAATGCATCAGCATGTTTCTACCACCACTTAGGAGAGATGAAGCACCAGGGAGCAGGCCTGATCAGTGGCCCACTTGGAAGAAGTGATTAAGGGGGAGACCAGCCTACATATACAGCCCCAGGGGACCGGGGATTTAGCTCAGTGGTTCCGCCTCCTGCTTTGCAAGCGCAAGGACCCGAGTTCGATCCCCGGTACCAAAATAAATAAATAAATAAACAAACAAACAAATAAATAAATAAATAAAAATATACAGCCCCAGGACCACACAGTACATAAGATTATCCACCTTGCTTCAACTGCAGGTTTGGTTAGCTGGCTTTGACAGTAGATTTTCCAAAGAGAGATGGGCTAGCCTAACTATCTGCATCCGAGTCTGCCTGACAGTTCTATCACTCGCTGTCCACAACAGCTGGCATGCTGACTTTGTAACATCAGTCTCCTGTGCGTCTGGCCAGTAAGAGTCCCACAGAACTCAATCTTTACACACTCACAAAATTAAACTCCCAGAACTGAATTTGAAGCTCAGAACCCGCAGTGTGACCACCCTGGAGAAGGCACCTGAGCAAGGAATTATGTCAGCATTCCTCTCAGATGTTGTGCACCAAACCCAAAGTCCTCTGAGTGGCTTTAGGTAGCCTCTCTGATCCAGGACTCTTCAAAGATTTGCTTCAGTGGGAACACTATCTTCAGGATGCAGTGAACAAACAACTACAGCAGACATGGGAGGGTTTATGTGAGAGAACAAACAATGGACAAGGTCTCCAACTCCTCTCCAAACCACCTCACAGGCCCCAGGAAACGTGAGATACAGGTGCCTGCTCCCAAACAGCGCCTGGTCTGCCCTCTAAAAAATGGGAATGCAGGCTGAGCCAGTGCCAGGCAGTTATCAAAGAGCATCCCTGTGGAAGGAGAGCCCTGACAATATCAATTGCCTGCAATCAACATGCATTTACCAATTTACTGACAAGGCTTTTGTTCTGCACTTTTTGGGCCTAGTTCTTAGCTTCCAACTGCTCACCTGCTTACAGGGTTCTAGTGCAGTAAAAGCTTCATTTTAACATACTTTAACCATTAGAATAAGCTCAGGCACAATCTCACTCTTATACGGAATCTAGAGAAGCTGACCTCAGACACACAGAGGATAGGACAGTGGCTCCCAAAGGCTGGATAAAGAGAAATTAGCCATTGCAAAGTTCCAGTTAGATTAGAAAGTGTAAGTCTTGGGGTTCTACTACACAGCAAGGTGACTATGGTTAACAGTATTGTGTTCAGTGTATCACAACTGTTACCAGAATGTAAGAATCTGAATGTAATCACCACAAAGAAATAATAAATATAGTAGATAAATATGCTAATAGCCCAGTCTAACAACTACACAATGCAGATAATGTATCAAAATATCCCCATACTCCATAAATATGTGCAATTATGTGTCGGTTAAAAACCAAATTTAAAAACAAGCCCACAATTGTTTAGCTATTGGGAAAAATGAGTTGCAGTGATTCCAAGAAGCATTTTTATTTCCTTTTTTTTGCTGGTACTAGATAGCCCCAGTCATTTTTTTTGGTTTTTTAAGACAGAGTCTCACTAAGTCACTAAGTTGCCCAGCCAGGCTCGAACTAGCAGTCCTCCTGCCTCAGCCTCCCAGAGTGCTGAGATTACAGGCATGTGCCACCACACCTGGCTTCAAAGGAGCATCTTAATAGGACATAAGTGTAGAAAGAAAAGCTGGAGAGTAGACCTGTAGCAGACTGGCAACTTCAGTTCCCTAAAGCAGAGTCAGTGCAAAATGGAGCTGGACCGGGAACCACAGCAGCACCCACACGCTCCATCCTATGTTTCTCTCTAGTGGGCTGTCAGGCTCACCTACGTTGCCACAAATCCACATTGCAAGGGTGACCACAAATAGGAGGCAAGAATGAAAGACAAGCCTGAGACATTTCTAGCTAAATGGATCCACCTTGAGACCACATTCCTAAATGAAATAAATCGAACACATATGTTTAATATCACATTGTTTCTCTGGTATGAGAAACCAAAAGTGGAAATAAGGACTAAAATGTACAGTAGATATGAGGAAATGGGAAGAAAGTGTTCAAATGGGAAGGGAAACAAGGGAGAGGGAAGAGGAATGGATGGAAGGGATACAAAAAAAAGTGAATAGAAGGAAAAAAACTCTTTGAGAACATAGACGTTACCCATCAGTCTAATTCTGTGACACCGTCCCATGTCCCCTCCCTGAGTTATCAGGAGAGTTGGTATAATGTGGTTAAGAGAGCATGCTTAGTATCAAATTCTACCTAGCTCATTGGGGAACCTGGGGCAAATGGCTCCACTTCTCAGAGTCTGCTCTGCCATCTGTAAACTCAGGGTAGGACACCCAAAATCAAGAGGAGCTGCAGAACTAATAGGGTTACACTTCCCAAGTCCAGAGTGTTTCCTCTGCTGGCCATTTTCCAAGGCACAGTATAGGCATCGCATCATCTCATCCTCAACGAACCCTAAGTAGTCGGTTCCATCATCCCTTTGCCGAGTGAGGAAATCTACCCCAACTAGCTTACAATGAGCCAAGGCTCTCCTCCAGTCTGTCCGCCTGCAGAAGGAGCACTAGCATTTTTGCACAATGCCTAGTTCAATGTTAAGTGCTCAGGAAAAAGACTTCTATTTTGACATTATAATGACCCATCATGCCAGCTATGAATCTAGGGTTTTCTAAAAGCAGCTCACAGGCTTTACTGAGGCCATGAGTAGCTTCCACAGGGGCCCTTGGTAAGAAAGAACTTAAAACAGAAAATGAAGTGGTAGTTAGGGAGCTGCTAGAATAAAGGAGAAAAGAAGGCTACTCTAGCAACAAGAAAAATCAATTAATGATAAAGCTCCCTACATTTGAAAGCTCACTGGGTTCTCACTGATTATTTAGATTGTTTATAGTTTTGGCGGCAGCATCAGAGAAAAATCACACTCAGACAATTCTACCTACCACCTCACTACTAAAGGTGCGATCTGGCCAGCAGCCCTGGGAGGAGGTTAGAAATGCCTTCACCCAAGACCCTCTGAAACAGTCTGCCTTTCATCAAGACTCCAGGGGACCCACCGAGGCATTAAAGCTGAAGAAGCTCTGACCTCAAGCTCATCCCAGCCTCTTTGCCTACCGCACACCTGTTTCCCCAAGTTCTCCATGGGAAGTGAAGCTGCTGAAGAGGATACCCAGCTAACTCCCAGAGGTATGTAAACGCTTTGCATTCAGACAACATAGCAGCAGGTCACTGACACACTTATTTCTAAAGGGTCCTCTGAACTAAGCTTTTCATCAGCCTCTTATTTGACTTTGATTTTAAACAGGTCTTCATGTTGAATCAGAAAGGGACATTTTAAGAAATATCTTTTCTGGGCAGAGCTGGGCAACATCAGTATTGGGAATCAATCCACAAAGGTGAAGTCAGTCACTCAATTAGAGGAATGAAATCAGGCCTTTAATCCAGCACCATAGCAGCACCATCTGTGGAAATGCTAATTATCCTTCTAGCTCCAGTGCCTTTTGTTTCCACACTCTATCATTACCTTGGCAGTGCTTTCCATACCAAGGGTACCAAATGGCTTGAGGAAGGACATCAGCACCTTTAATGCCCATGGCTAGCTTTAAACACTTCTACAATCTAATTTTTTTTTTTTTGCATTACAAATGATTTCACTGCATTTATTTGTCTTTTCTACCCTGGCAGGCTGTCTTAAGTCACTAAGGATGCCTCCTGTCCCACTTAAGATTCTGGCAGTAAAATCTACTGGCCAAATAATGTCTACTGCATGTCAATACCTAGGACGACAAATCACAGGTAAGGTGATTATTCTTCCCTACAGATGGAAAGGCAGCAGCTATAAACTGACAATATTTCCCACTGGCCTATGAAGGCTCCCAAACATCTGGTGGCTCTAGCAGAGGGCGATGAGGCATCACTGCCAGTCAGGGCCACCATCAAAGAAAATGGTGTGTGGGTCAGAAATAGACAGGTAGACTGGCACAGGATGAGGTACCAAAGTATTAGTGTCTAGAAAGCATTTCAACAAGAACAAGGCAGCACTGTCTGGAGATGCTATCTTAGCATCCATTTTCCCTAAAACAAAATTTCCAAACTGCTCTCAGAGGCTTTTAAGAAACTCACTCTTTTTTGCCAAGTCTTTCAATGAAGAAGTAAGTATCAGAGATATCTTTTGAGGAGTCAGTCTCCTCCCTTCCAACACGCCCAGCCTGACACAATTACATTCTCATCCGGGCATCACTGGACTGGAGCTAGAAGTCTGTGTCAACAAGAAGGCCAAGCTGGTTCACAGCATAAGTATGTGGGGGAAGAACATGCAGATCTTAACTGGTTACTTTTAATTTCAAAATTAGCTCCAAGATCTTCCATAAAAACACTACAATTCCTATGGAACCCTCTTAAAATCAGACATGCCAGAGCCCCAGTACCTTCTAAACATGATTATAAAAGTTAATTTTTGGAAATTGCGCAGAAGGCAGTCCACCTATTCAAGTAATATACTCGCTGCTGACTTGCTTTGCAGTATTTGACAGGTTCCAAAATTCCCTGTATTCTTCTAGGATTCATCAGTCTACATATGGTGGCAGAAGAGTTGGCCCATATTGCTTCTCCCTGAAACTTGCCTAGAACCTGCTGAGCTCCCATATGCAGAGCACTAAACTCTAGAAGGCTAGAGAAGAATTGGCTCCCAGTCTCGTGTAACTTCACTACCTTTACAGGAGAATAGTTAAGGTTAGCTACCCTGTTGGGATCTCATCGGCCCTTTCTGAAACGTTCACAGTAACACCTGAGGGAAGGGATCTAACAGCACAGATGACATAGCCAAAAGCCACTGCTCCCACAGCCAACTCAAAAAAACGATAATGCCTTTTCTGTATTTTAAGGCAGACTGAAAAAAGCAAAGCAGAGAGATTCCCATCACCACAGATGGATGTGGGTAATTCGGGAATGTGACCAAGCCACAAATGGCAGCAGACCTGGAATTAAAGAAAACATAAGCCTAAGCTCATAATTGCTGTTAAAGGTCTACATTTATTGAATACTTGTTACATATAGGTCAGTATTCTAGGCATTTATATTTCTAACTACAATCCTGTGAGCTAGGGTATGATCAACCCCACTTTACAGTGGAGAAAACAGACTCAGAAGTCAAAAGAGCTTGACTAAGGTGACAAAGCCGACAGAAGGTGTGCCTGGAACTCTGATCTGTGATGTCAAAGCCTGCTCTGTGTTCCCATGCTCTGCTCTAGAGGTGTGAGACCCAAGTAGGAACTGGAGCAGCAGACCACCGAACTCCCAGGACCCCACCCTACAGGCCTTCATACCTCCTGTCAGTTCCATGGTCAGCTTTTCATTTTCAATCATTTTCTTCTTTTCTTCTAGCTCAGCAATCAGGTTCTCTTTCAATTCAACCTTCTTATCTTCAAATTCTTTCACTGCTGCTTTCTTTTCTTTAATGTAATTTCTTTCCACTTGTTCAGTCTGAGCAAAAGAGAAACATAGGCTAGGGGTGTATGGCCTAGGCAGCCAGGGCTGCAACTCGAAGTTCAGCTCTGTCCTCAAAAGCAAAGAAAATACCTTTGCTAGTAATAGGAAAAAAGCTTTGCTCACACACACTTGCAGTAAGCGGGTGTCTGGGAACAGGTTTCCCAATGAGTGCACACGTTGCCACTCAGGTAGTTCCTGTTCCCGATGATGTCTTAAGTATTATGGCTTTAACAGAACACAAATCTCTCAAAGATAGTAGTCCCTTTCAAGGCACAATTTCAAAAAATAGCACTTTCCAGATAAAGCATCTATATTCAAAATTAATTACATGACATTGAGGCCAGACAATATGGGTTACTATTTTTGATACTTACAGTAAGATGAGAAACAACTACAGTAGACCACTCATAAGGTGCCTGAACCCTGGAGTACTCAACACTGACACTGAACTGAAATTAAAAATTATTTTAAATCTCACCAGTGCACTAAGTAATGAACAAGGGGCTTAAGGTGGGCTATGGCTGTGGGTCATGTGATCCTTCAGGCCGACACTATGTGCACTGAACTGATTTTAGCACTTAAATGGTTTCCAGTAACATGGGTCTAATAAACCATGACATTCTCAAAAAGTACCCCACAAATACACACCATGCCAGGAGCAGTACTGCAATCAAGACTCTGGCCCTAATCTCTAAGCCACAGCACTGAGCTGACACAGAAGCAGCACAGAGATGTCTGTGGAATGAAAAGAAACATGAAAATATTGTCTTTCCATTGGCCCAGAGAGCTTCAGGTATAAAATGGATCTGTCAAGCCAATTCATAAACTGAGCTGCTTGGAGGACCACTATCAAATTATTATGCCACTAAAATTCAGATACTTCCAAATGGCTTTAACTGACATACAAGTCAAAAGAAAGCAGTAAGGGGTGAGCATCCCCTAAATCCTTCAGATAAATAGAGGCTGCTCAACAAGAAATGAACAGATCAATGGTGGCAAACCTATGGCATGCGCACCCCAGTAGGTTGTTTGCATCACTGAAAGCTCTAAAAGGTTCACCACCCCTGGAATAGATGGACCCTCAGAAGTGAGACCAAGTATCAGGTAGGTAATAAGGGCTTCCAAACTACTCTGTGACAGAAGGAAAGGCCGCCGGATCCAGAAAGCATGATTCCAGGCTCAGAAAGAGCCTGCAAACGCAAAAGGTCTATGGTACTTACTTCCAGCTGGAGGAAGAGTTCTGAAAGAGATAAAAAGTACAATTAGATTCGCTAGGCATGCCACCTTTCTAGACAGGGATGTTAGGATTCATTTAGAAGCTGTAATTGCTTTCTGAAAGCACGTTACACAAAGCAAATCTTTTCATCAGTAAAGTGCTGACACGCGAGAAGAGTAAGGATGCAAGAAGTAGTCGTGTTGAGTTAGAATTTGCCCCTGAACAGAGTCAGCTCTGGCACTTCTGCTGGGGAGGCGGGGGCAGGGTAAGCAGCAAAACTAAACCACCTTGGCAAAGTAAGTCATCCCTTCCTCCACTCATCCTCATTCTCTAGGAATGTAAGTCAGACCCTTGACTTACAAACCTGCTCAGTTCCCAGGGGCAGGTTAACTAAGTCAACACAGCTGAGATCTGGTTGCTTACCTGGGGCACACGCTATAGATAACAAGAGGCAGATGAATCTTCCATTAACCTAATTAACCCAAGTTGTTTGTATGTTAAGCCGGTTGTAACTAGAGGGCCCACTGTAGTTGCAAAAACTGCAGGACAGGTCAGGAAGACACATGGCAACTACTCCTGAAGCGAGTCTGCCTTGATGTTTTGAAGGTATTGCGGAAAGGGCCCCATGTGACAAGGATGGTGCTCCCAGAGAATCCAGAGGACAGAGGTTCTGGGCTTCCTTGGGGTCTACTCACGGGCACCAAGCTCTGCTCACACTGAAGCTCCTGCCCACCACACACACTTGGGCCTCTCTGATCACACTCCAAGCTCCTGGTCTAATGCAGCCTCCAGCTTGGGGTCTTTCTGGACAGCCCCTCCCTCATCAAGCTCCTTTCAGACATCCTAAAGTATCCTCCCACAGGTATTTGGCTCCTATTGTATGCCACATAGTAACTATTTTCCTAGAAACCCTCCTCCACTGGACTGTGAGCCCCTCTACACCTCTAGTACATCAAACCAAAAAGGTCTTCGGCTTCTAATCTTTCCTCAGTGACACAGGGCCTGCTGCATATGGTATGCAAAGACTACTGGTGAGCCAGTAACTCTGCAGTACCCACTATAGTTTACCATAGCCTTCTCTGCAAACCTGATAAACCCTACACTCATTCCTCAGAAAAAAGCATATTCACACATGCTCCAAAGACTTTTTAGAGTTCTAAGACCCCAGGTTAGGAGCTCAGATGTCAATGAACAAGTTGTTGGATGAGAAAAATTAACTGAAGAAAAGGACAAGCCACTGATCATTTTCTAGCCTGGGAGTCTTTTTTTGGTCCAGGGAATCACCCGAGCACATCCAGCCCAATATGCTCATTCCTATGCCTGGTTCAGACTGTACCATCCAAGAACAAGACAGACACACCTGAAGTCCTGTGCCATCTGAGAAATCACACCAGCATCAACAAGACAAAATGACAATTAGCACTTAGAGCTGGTAGTTGTTGTTTCAGTTAAAGCTGCCAGACACCAGACACAACCAAAGCAGGTGGATTATCTCTGCACAGAATGGGCTTTTTAAAGCTCAAGTCACGACTGATTTAGGAGCTCTTCCTCATTTTCACCTGGAGGGAAGAAATGTTTAGGAAACCACACACAAAGACAGGATGGAGTGTCTGTGAGGTGAATTAAGAAAAACAACTCAATACTAATCCTGCTGTTCTGGTGTAGGGAAAGATGGCTCACATCAATTTTCTTTCCTTATTTACATCTTAAGCTGATTCCTTGAGGAATTAGTATTCCCCTCTACAGATGGGGAAACTGAGGCTCCACAAATAAATACTCTGATTGAAGGCACAGACTAAAAGCAATGGGGATCTGAACCTGAGGCCATGGCCTTCCACAGTATCACCTCCCTGACCTTATCGAGGGGTGCTCCAGGAAGAGGGGTTATGATTGTAATGATGTCCCTTGGGAGCTCTGAGTGGAGGGAGGGTAGCATCAGGCATACACAGGATGTGGACAGGCAGAAGGCTCATGGCTATAGTGCCATCCTCCCCGTATCCCACGCCTCTCAGCTCCTTTTCTGTTGGTGCACACTGGACACCCTAGGTGAAGAGGATGAAAGCTTCATGGATGGGAAGCTAGAGTTGCTGCATTAGAAGTCAAGAGGAAAGCAACATGGGGAGCGGCACCCAGACCTTATTTTAAAATCCAACATTATTTCCACCATGACAACGAAAAGCAAAGGCACCCTGCTGACACACAAAATGCTGGCTGATGGTGATCTTCAAATTTAACAAGTACAGAGTTTTGTGTAAGCTCAGGAATCTGTGCTTACACACTTTTAAACAGTTGCCACATCTTCCTTTCTGCATGATTCTTCATTTAACTCACAATGTTCCTTAACTTTAGACATGTGTATATCTTTCATCAATGAAACATGAGTTTCCTAAAGTCAAGGACTTTATATTGCTCACAGTGCTTACATGTACCAGATGTCCAACAGATATGTGAATAAAAACATTTACTAGGTATAACAGACTAAAAATGTGCTCCTTTATTTCTCTCAATGCTTATTATACAACACTTCAAGGAAATAGAGAAAGCTCAGAATTCCAGAAGAAACAAACTTAAAATGAGTGTGAAACAATCTACAATCCCCTTTCACGTCAGCACCTCTGATTGGCCACTAAGCCAGCCGTGAGCAGTAATATACAAGACTAACCTTGGGACACTAGGAAGAGCTTGAGGGCGAGCAGCCACCACTAAGGCCACTGGCCTTAACTATGCCTTTGGAATCTCTCTTCCCCAAAACCCTCCCCTCAAGACAGTATCTGCGGTACAATTTGGGAAACAGCTCTTACAGCCACATTACATGGACGATGCTGTGGAACATTTGAAGATAGTTCATTTCCATATCAAAGAGCCTCACCTGCATTTCGGATCCTCTCCTTGTACTGCTGATCCAGCTTTTTCATTCTCTTCTGATATTCCTGTAATGTACCTGATTTTGAGCATTTACAAAATAGAAAGTTATTTTGAAGATCGATCTGCTCTACACTATATTTCCTAAAGTTATTTTCAATTGATAGTGACTGTTATTAGCATCAGAATAATACAAACTCAGAAAAGCCACACCTGAGCAGTTAACTGGATTCTGGTTCTCAGCCAAAGCACACAGCAGGTTCCATCTGGGGCCCATGTGCAGTCCACCCCACCCAGCACATCAAAACTCTCTGTGTGAGGGGAGTACAGGGGTGCAGACACCCCCAAGAGATTCCAACTGCTTGCTACTACAGTGCAAGGCACAGGGCCTCCCTTCTGGAAAAAGCTCACTCTCCTGCAGGAAAGTCTATGTCAAGGCTGGCCAGCACAGCTTTCTGCAGTGGTGGAACGGTTCTCTATTTGCACTATGCAATGTGGTAGCTACTAGCCACGAGTGGTGGCTTTAGTACTTAAATACAGCTACTGCAACTGAACAACTAATTTTATTTACTTCAACACAAACAGCCACATCCAGTTAGTGATAGTACCAGACGGCTCAGGCACAGATTCTGAAATCTGTTTTCACAGTTCTTCCCCGAAGGGGTCCAACTTGTGGGGAAGGGCTTCATGTTCACAGTGTTTGCCCATGGGCCGCCAAGACAGCAGATCACCCACTAGCAATACAAAGTACCCAGCAGGAAAGCAGTTTCACTGACAAGGGGCTCCACAATATGGAACTAAAGAGCTAATGGCAGCAGATAACCCTCCCTGGGTTCTCATGCTGTGCCAACACTACACTGGATGCTCTGTTTCCTTCCATTTTGCAGACTAAAAAACCAGTTAGCCAAGAGAAAGTGATGTGCTCAGGTCATATACAAGAAAGTGCAAAACAGGTTCCTTCTCTGCCATGGAATTTGAGGGCCTGGGCTCTTAAAGCCCCATGCTGCACTCACTGCCTTTGGGGGCCAAAAGCACTTGACAAAAACCATCCACTTATAATCTACCAAACACAAAACAGAAAACACTGTAGATAATTCACAATCCATTAACATTTGTTTTAGAAAGAAAAATAAGCTGGATGTGGTGGTGTATAATCTCAGCATTCTAAGAGGCTGAAGCAGGAGGATCTCAAGTTCAAGGCCAGCCTGGGCAACTTTGGGACTTAGCAAGACCCTGTCTCAAAAGAAATTTAACAAAACGCTGGAGATGCAGCTCAGCACGAGACCCTGGATTCAATCCTCAGTATCCCACACACAGCCGGAAAAAAAAAAAAAAAAAAGCTAAGATTTTATTCTTTGGTAATAACATCTCTCCTAGAAATACCTAGCTTTGGAAGGCCCCAAATGTGATTTCACTTAAAAGAATTTGCTACATATTTTAATAAAAAATAAGAGTTTGAAAATTACTTTATTGATCAAAGACAGTAAAATATGTACTGGATAGATAAAATCAGTTACACTAAATTTTCAACTGTTCACACAGTGAAGTAAAATAGACTTCATGTTTAACAGTAAGAAAATACTTAGAAATGGAGTCAATCACACACCAACCTTCTTGCAGTTGTTGCAGCTGCCTCTTGAGAGAAGCCAGTTTGTCCTGATACATCCTGTAAAAGAAAACTCACACTGAAAGACAAAAGCATTCAGTCCTCAACTCTGAAATGCCCTGTACACAGGAATTACTGGGTCTGTTAGGGGAATGTCAACAATGTTCTTCAGGGAAGAGAGGTTTACAACGTACTAGCTAGAGCAGTCAGAAAGGGACAGGAACCAGGTGTAGTGGTGCATGCCTATAAGTCCCAGCTACTTGGGAGGCTGCGGCAGGACAATCACTTGAGCCTACCAGTTTGAGAACAACATAGTGAAATCCCATCTCAAAAAAAGAGAAAAGGACAAGGGTTGCATATTATTGAATTGTATCATAATTTCAAAGATTCTTCTGTTATTCCGCCTTTAGAGAATCAGTCTAAAATGTAAAAATATGAAGACAGCAGATTTTAATAAATGTCAATGATAAAGAATTAAGTATAAACACACAAAGAAAAATTCAAAGCATCATGCCATTTTCTTCTGGATTTAAAAGTATAAGTAACATATTAAACACAACTCATTTCAACTCTACGATTATAAAGTCCAAAGGAGTAAAATTATGCCCTTGGTATGTCTTTCTATACAAAGAGCACAGCTGAATAAGCATTAAGTCAATAAATCTTCATGTCGCTTTTAAAAGCACTACTCTGGGCCAGGGATTTAGCTCAGTGGTTTCGCTGCCTGCTGCGCAAGCGCAAGGACCCGAGTTCGATCTCCGGTACCAAAAATAAAAAAATAAAAAATAAAAAAAATAAATAAAAGCACTACTCTTTCAGGATCAGAAAAATAGTAATTTGGAACAAAAATTAAAATGGAAAATTCATTTATAGCCCCAGGTAGATAAGAATACAAAGAACACACACGACACACAAAGGAAAAGAACATGGCACATTATTCTTTTATTAGTACACATTTGCAGTACTTTTACATTCATCTTTAGAGCAAGTACATGCACTTAATATATCTTAATTATTTTTAATTCCCTTTCCCTTCTCCCTCCTCTTTTGTCTCCAGATCCCCTTCGCATCTGCAAAAGATCTCCCCATTTCCTTTTATTCATTATTATTGTTGATACTTTGGATTTCTCGTATAAGAGAAGTTAATGCTATATTTAAGCTTGTGTGTCTTATTTAAATCACTTAACACTATGGCCTCAAGGTGCATCTGTTTTCCTACAGATGACTTAAATGTATCCCTCTTTATGACAGACTAGTACTCCATTAAGTATAAATATTACATTTTGTTCACCCATTCATCTGTTGATGGATATACGGATTTGTGGCAATTACACACTGGCAAATCCATTTAAATGTTGGATTCTATAAGTAAATCATATTTCCACAATATTTTGGGTTCTATCTGAAAACATCAACCATCTCTCAGTGACAAAACAGGTTTTGAAGCCTGTGATCTCAGCATTCTGGGAGGCTGAGGCAGGAGGGTCACAACTTTGAGCCCAGTTTGGACAACTTAGCAACTTAAGACCCTGTGGAAAAAACGAAAAAGGGCTGAGGATATGGGATATGGCTCAGTATGAACACTATAGGTTCAGCCTCCAGTACCAAAAAGAAAGCAGGATTTGCGACCTAAAATAGCACTGTGCAAAATGTGAGAGCCACAGTAGGCTTCTAACTGCTCAGATATGGCTGACATATACAGCCAAACACTCTGCAGCCAGGGGAAAGGGCAGGCAGAATCTGAGAGTCCCATAGGAGGGCTACTTCTTTTAGGATAAATCCTGATCAACTCTCCATGCTCACCCTGAATCACACAAGGCATTCAATTCTAATCAAAATTATTTTCTCATTAAGGGAGGACATTTAATCAAAAAATGATCTCTAACAAATGATGCTTAAATATATCAAGTACAGGAGAGAGTGTAGATACACGAACCTTGCACAAGTCAGTATTTGGAACCCAGGACCTTAACTTTTCTACCTTGAGGGTGCCAGCCAATTCCCATGACTGAGTCTTTGAAAGGGAATGACAGGTTGAAGAAAGAGAGAAATAACTTAAGACTCATTAAGGCCAAGTACAGGGAAAAGAACAGGTATGTGAGAATGTATCTTAAATAGGTCAAGGTGAATCAATAAAAAGCTTGCAAAGACAAAAATCAAGTACAGTTTCAGGATGAAACTATGAGAAAGATCACATGAACTATTATACATAATCCTTCATTCACCACTGGTCAGACTTAGCTGAATTACCCCTTGGGTTCCAAAGCTTGAAAAGGATGACAGAATCCATAGGATGGCTATAAACATTTGTAAATAGGACCTAGAAGGGAGAGAATGTGGATGATCTACTTTAGAAGAATTTAAAAGGTCAAATCAAGATCCTCAAAATGCACTCAATAAATACTTATTAAGTGCATCTTATATACTGTCTTCTATCTGGGTATATGATTAAAAATGGGGAGGGGGACATGGCATGCACTTGTAGTCCCAGCTACAGGGCTGGGAGGTGAGGGTAGGAAGACAGCTGGAGTTCAAGGTCAGCCCAGGCAATACAGGAAGA